GGAGTGTGGAGAGGGGGGGGGGGGTGCAGTGCATGGTCTGGGGTGTACAGCTGTGTGTGTAGTATCTGATATATATAAATAAATAAATTAAAAAAATCAAGAGCCGTGTGTCTGGTAGAATCCAGGACAGGATGTCTGTAGAAACAGGATCTTCACATTAGCACTGACAACAGATCACTCTTTAAACCATTCATTCATGCAGATTAGTGCTGTAGGTGGGATGTCTTTGGAAAAGAATACTTTTGTTTTCCTATATACAAATGAAAGATGTGCAGGCATCCTGTGGTAGTGGGCACGCAGGAGACAGATGGTCTGAGGCTGAGATAAACCCACGGATTGTTGAATACCAGTGGAAACTCAGAGAAGATTCTGCAGGAAGGTCTGAGCCGAAGCAGCGGGACGTAACAGATATCTGACTGAGCCAGCTGATGTGTGACAGCGGGTAGACAGGATGTTTCAGAAGTGTGTGGCGTGAAGAGGAGTGGGTTTGAGCTAAGACGCAGCAGGGTGAAAGCTGGCTATGATGACGGCAGTCTTCTCTTCAGAGCTGGATTTCAGGAAACAAACTCCCACATGAACACTGAGATGGTTTACATCAGGCAGAAACACTGTTAAAGTTGTTTTTATTTTCACACCCAAAATGGCAATTACACAGCTGGGAACTTAAATGAGAGTTAGATTCTAACACAGGTTTCATTTCACAGTGTTATAGCACGGAGAAACTCACTGTTAGTGAATTTGTCTTCATTTTATGAGCATCTCAGCAACAACTATCAGACCAAACTCTTGGAGGCAGTGGCCCACATCAACACCACATTGTGGGCTGAATCCTTCTTTTTACAAGCATTTCTTTAATATCAGTTTGTGTGTGTGTACTTGTTGTAGGCATCTGCGTTATTTCAGACAAACGTGTCCCAGACTGCGGTCTGTTTGTGACAGAGGGTGTATTATGCCGTCCGTGGATGTGGATGTGTTTCGCGGGCTTCGTGCCAGCTCCGTGTTTAGATATTCTGTTGCTCTCGGAGCGTCCACAGCTGTGCAGTGCAGGAGCCCATGCCAGCCAACGCAAGTTTGACTGACAGTGGCATTTAGTAGCCGACAGGAGCGACAATAGCAGGCAGAGGCAGAGAGTGCAGCAGTATGGGCTCCTGCTCATCCATCACTTCCTGCATCACTGGCTCTCTTTTGGCCCCTTTATTTCCCGTTCTGTGAAGCATCTGAACCTCTCTGCTGTCTCCAATTTCTATTTTACTAGTCATTCCTGTTTTAACTGCACTCTGGCCACTGCATGCATATCTAATAAATGGTTTTTATTTGAAGAAAATTGTACCTTTTGAAAAACTTTTCTTTCTGCAGAACTTGCATTGACCACTGAAGTTAGAAGCACAAACCTGACAATTTATTCTGCTTTTCCTCAGAGTACGTTGACCTTGCTGTTTTCTCTAAAGAAAACTAAAAAAAAAAACAAAAAAAAAAAAAACTTGATAATTAGAAATAAATCCATTAGAGTCTCAGATTATGAGGCAACATTTTAATCAGCATTTTGAATCAAGGACTGACAGGGATTATTTGTCATTTTTGGGAGAGCATTAACGTGGATTCGTTCACTTCATTTGTAAGAAGTTGCTCTGGAATATATTCATTTTTGATTTATTGTCCACCTGGATCTGTCTTTTGTGAAAACAATCTGCGTTTTGTTCTGTTTTTTGTTTGTTTGTTTGGTTTTTGGTTGTTTTTTGGATTAGTAAAAGATTAGAACCTGCTGCCAACGCTGAATCTGAATCTCGATCTGCGTCTGTAAAAATCTGGAATGGATTTGATTTTTCATATTTGGTTTTTCACACGTATAAGAAAAAGTTTGGAAACAAGATTGATTTTTAATGAATTATTAGGTAAAACAAGGTTAAACAGGAACATCAGGTCCTCACCTCTCACTCTCCCTCTCTCCCTCAGTCTGTCTCTATCATATTCCTTCTTCTGTCTCTCACTTTCACACTCCATATCCATCCTGCCGCTCCACCCTCACCCCTTCCTCCCCCCTCGAATGATCTCAAACCAATTGCTCTGCTTCACCCATAAATATTCTCCAGAGCTCAGTCGGCCTCTGCTGTCAGGGGGCAGGAGGGGAGTCAGGCGTGAGAGCAGTAGGGCAAGGGGGCTGCAGGGGGAAGAAAAGCGAACGAGTTTTTATCACCCCCTGTTGGTTAGGTTGTGCACTGGAATGCACCTCTGGCAGTCTTTCTTAAAAACAAAAAATATTCTGTTAAAAATGTAAATAAACAGAACAAGCTTTTTCGTGCACAACACAGGAGGAGGAGGTTGGCTGTTGTCAAGGTCTCGTTAATTGATTCTGACAATATCAAAAGCAGGGGTGTAAAATTTTGAGGCAAAGGCAAACGGTTTCCTAATGTTTATTAATTATAAACAAAATAATAAAAATAAAAACATCGACTTTGTCCACCAGGTAATTAGCACGTGTTTGAGGACAGCTCTTACTTTTCTTTCTGAGAGCGTGGATTCAAATTGGACACATTTTTTCTGACACATCATCAGCTGGACGTGAAGTTGATGGGAAAAAAAGGATTCATTTAATCATTTTAAAAGCCAACGCTGCCTCGAAAGCAAAGAAAAGCCCTCGGTGCTCGTCTCCCTTTGTGTAGTGGAGCCATATCTGGAGACAGTAGCATATTAGTCAAAATGTCAGCTCCTCCTTTCTTCTCCTCCACGGACCATAACTTTTACATCACGCCTCATCTCCCATGTTTTCTCCCCTATTTTCTCTCCGTCGCCCTGCCGGCTCTACTATCGACTCCATTTGTTACCGGAGCTCGTCTCCTGTAATTATGGCGCGATTAGTGTTTCAATTACACACAAACATGTTTTCGGAGACATCGGGGTGGAGAGGATCGACATCACCATATAGTACCTGCGCGGCACTGTGCAATCATGTGATTTGATTTGAAAGAAAGCCGAGTGTCTTTTCGTGCCTCGTTTGTCTCCAGTTTATGGCCCTGTTGTTGTTTCTGAAATACTTTGATGGAGGAGAGCATTTAAAAAAGGTTATGAAATGGGAAGTAATGAACGGGTACACAACGATGTGAAGGATGAAGGGAGAAGACGAAGGCATTAAGGACGATGTCACGGTGCTTTGCAACAGAACAATACCGTAAGACGACACCTTTGAGAGTACTATAGCAGCACATTACAAATCCAATATGCATGGCTCATTTCACAGTACTTTGAGGTTTTTTTGTTGTTGTGTTTTTCACCTTGTTGTAGCATAACAACACCAACATGTATTTTCAATAACAATATTTGCCAGAACAATATTGACTTTCACTGACTGTCGGTGTTTGCACTTGTTTGTGGACATGAGTGCCGGCAGACTGACAGGACGGTGATTGGCAGATGTGTTGATACAACAATGGACCTGACTGTTCAATGAACAAATGCACATACAGTATCATTACACAAGATCAAGTCTAAAAAGAAATGTATGAAATTGAGCTATAAACAGGGGTTAAGGACCTCAAGATCGTTGTAGTTTCTTGATGCCCAGAGGAAGAAAGGTGTCAACAAAGGCTGCACTCTGCAGAGTGACCATTTACAAACACTTCCCACAATTCTTCAACCTTAAGTGAATTTATTCTCCCGTCTCATGACGACTCTACCACTAGTTATTCTCAGTTGACGTGTGATGAAAGATGAGGTCTACAGTCCCCCTCAGGGTCACATGGAGACCAGAACACAGTAACCCTGACATTGAAATTCAATTTTGGACAGTTGGATCACAATATGTTCATAGAAAAGATGCAAAATCCAGACTGCAGCTCAAACACTAGGATGTGACCTTCCTCCAGGACAACAACACCAACCATTATATCACAACAGACCCCTTGACCTTTACCTTAGGGAGGTCAAATTGGTTAGAAAGGTAGGGAACAGGATCATTGATCACTCGGTCAATTGGATTCACCATTCTTTGTTTATTCTATTGGATATGTAATGAGTCATATCAGTGACATCGCTATGTCAATGGACCATAACCTGCCCCTTATATTGAATGTAAAGGACCCTGCGGTCACCTGTAACTTTTACTAATCAGTACCGAACCATGACCAGGTATTTGAACCTTGATCATATCTGTTAGTCATTTTAATAATCTAGTAATGATGATAGAATATTTTTATTAATTATGGATATTTTTGGTAGGTTTCAAGTACTTTTGGAAATATTCGTACAGTGGCAAAGAATATGTTCTTTGGGTTAATTGTGTTTGTGTATGTGTTGGAGCAACGATCCAAACTGAATTTTCTACCAAAACAAGTCTAAACAAGTCAAGTCTAAAAACAGAAACAGAATCAAACTTAATTCTGGATTCCCCACAGAGTTAAGCTGGTCATTTGGAATTGGTATTTGACAAGTGCAGAACAAATGTTATTAGAATCAGAGCCCAACTACCGTTCCTTCCCAATTAAATCTTCACAAGACAGGTTTTAGTGCCAAATGTCCACAGTTGACAGGCGGAGGAGTTCATTTTCACAAACTGCTTTCATTTTATGTTTTGCTTAAAAAACTTCCTGCAGAGCGAGGCTTCATTTTGCCTTCAGACTTATTTCCAATACTACACTTTGCTCTCAGTGTAGTACTTGGCTTGTTTTCCACTAATGGACACAGAACTGAAACCATTTAACACCAAGTATCTGAGATCATTGACTCTTCTTTTAACTATTAAGTAGTGTCCGGGGAAAAAAGGCCAATATTTCTCTGCCTCTAACAATGACCAAAGACTAATACTTTCAGGTTCTGTTTACAGAAGTAGATCTACAAACTGTGAGCAGAAAGAAATTCAGCTGTTTGCATG